GGTATTCAATCTATTTAGAGCTAGACTCACAAGTTCTAATAAACATTAGATCTTCTAGAGTGCAAAAGAATCTACATAACCCGACTGAAATCTCATGTTTCTTTTCTGCTAAAAGGAAGTCTTACAAGTGAAGAAATGGTTAATCAGGCTTGCCATGAGAATTGTTTAATGAAACTCATGACTAGCAAAAACATGTACTACTATATCCACTTTGAAGCCAAAGTATTCAAAAATATAAGACAGTTCATGCTGGAAAAGTTACACTTCCAAAGACACAAGTTCAGTAGTGTAGTGTATCCCATATGATTTGCTAAATTACTTCCTCTTCACCTAATTATTTTAAATGGTTTCGTCAAGACAAATACTTTTATGCCTATGGACCACACTATTTACAACACATTACCACATAATATATGTGTACACCAAATTATAACAAATTTAAAACATTAGAGTATGATGGCAAAACTGACCTGGGAAGTCGAGGATCAGTCTTGCGCATTTCTCTCAAATCTTCCATTGACAAAAGCTGTGATTGGATTTCAACAAAAGCATAAGGAAAAGGGGGCTCGGAGCACAATTACAGACATAGCAGAGCTCATTGAACTGTAAGAAGGTTACCGTTTCTGGATCAGGCACATCAGGCATTTTTGCTTCTTGGTGATCAAATCCATCTTCATCTTTCTGTCACATTATATACCAATAATAAATGCAGTTTTAAGAAAAATATTACAAACATAACAACTAGTAAAAAGACAATGGTGTAATGAACACATGAAGTGTGTCATATAAAGTTGCATCTGACCAAAAAAGTTACTGCAATATTCCAGGCAAAAACAAGTGATCCATCGAAGTCCCAATCACCATTGTGAGTCTACGGTTTTCGTGCAGTTGAATCAGGAAAAGATCAGAAGAATAGGGTATTCCATGGTAGGAATTCAAAACGAGCAGAACAAAGCATTTCAGAAATGACTGAAAGTTATCAGCCGATCCAATTGATTTCCCTAGTACACCTAGCTAACTTTCAACTTTCTTTGTTATTTTGTGAGATTAGAAGATTAAAAGTTAATATTAACATGTGATGTGTGAGAAATATATGGGAAAAATATTATTGAATTGTTGTTTTTTTAACATTATTACATTGAGACCCTATTTATAGACCCTAGAATACAATCATTTACCAAGTAGGATACTATTTAGTATTCCTATTTCTATTTCTATTACTATTCCTATTCTAATAGGATTGTATAAACCTATTCCTATTCTAACACTCCCCTTCTAGTGCATACAATTCATGTACCTAGCTTGTTACAAATGTAATTAACACGAGGACTGATGAGGGGCTTGGTGAGATATCTGCAAGTTGATCACTCGACTTCACAAAATTGACAATCAATCTCAATGTGCTTGGTCTTCTCATGAAATACTGAATTTGATACATAATGCCGATAAAACACTGAGTGATAAAATTACAGTGTTGGAACTTCCCAAACCAAGCTTGCAAGGACTGTTTCAGACCATAGAGTGACTTACGTAATCAACATACAAGGCTACTAAACTCCCCCTAAACTCCCCCTGAGCAACAAAATTAGGTGGTTGCTCCATATAGACTATTTCACAATGCAGCGGTCGTAAGTGCTCAAAATCTAGTATAAAGTATATGGATCATGTTAGAATCAATAGACGAGTCGATATCAAACAAGTCACCGAAAAACTAGCCAGAACATGCTCATATGTCGGTGTATTAGATTTGATGGCTAAAAGTGGTCACAATCTAAGAAATAAAATTATATGGGTAGGGTCAGAATGATGCCACAACCCAACTAGAAAATAGAAATAATATAGGATAGTTCAAGTTGATGGAACAACCCTATTGAAAAAGGGAAATAATATGGGTAGGGTCGGAATGATGGCACGGCCCTACTGAAAAAGAAAAATTATACGGGTAGGGTTGGAATGATGGCACAACCCTACGCAAATCAGATTTGAGGAGTCACCAGAAAGACGAATGAAACTATGCAAATCAAATCTGAGGAGTCGCTGAAAAGACACATGATGCTATGCAACTCAAATATGAGAAAATAGTTCGGAAAAATCCACGGTACTACACAAATTAAATATGAAAAGTAGTCCGGAGAGATGCACGGTGCTACGCAAATCAGATATGCAAAAAGAAGGTAGTCACCGGAAGGATGTCACGGTGCTACACAAATTATATATGAAAAAGTAGTCACTGGAATGATGGCATAGTACTACACAAATTAAATATGAAAAAGTAGTCACCGGAATGATGGCACGGTGCTACAAAAATTAAATATGAAAAATAGTCATTGGAATGATGGCACGGTGCTGCACAAATTAGATATAAGAAAGTAGTCACCGGAATGATGGCACGGTGCTATACAAATTAGATGTGAGAAAATAGTCACCAGAAAGATACACGGTGACCCAACTTTTGCTAACATAATTGTTGGCCAGACGGGCGGCATATATGAGTAATAACCGCCCGCCGGCAGCGGAAGCTTTTAGATTTTCTACCAAGATCGTAGAGGCTCTGATACCATGTGAGAAATATATGGGAAAAATATTATTGAATTGTTATTTTTTTAACATTATTACATTGAGACCCTATTTATAGACCCTAGAATACAATCCTTTACCAAGTAGGATACTATTTAGTATTCCTATTTCTATTTCTATTACTATTCCTATTCTAATAGGATTGTATAAACCTATTCCTATTCTAATAGGATTGTATAAACATATTCCTATTTTAATAGGATTGTATAAACCTATTCCTATTCTAACATGATGCAAACATGATATCCACAGATGGAGAATATGAAAGGACAATTTAATAGAAATCCCAAGTTGAGTTGAATTCATTCATAGCAACACTTTCTATGCTGATACTTCCAATGCTTTTTCTTCACAGTTTGTATTCTACCACAAATTCTCATTACATAGCATGCAAGTTCATGCCTTCGCATAAATAAAATCAACTTGCTACAATCATATTAATTAAGGAAACCTATTTATGCTGAATTACAAAAGTGAGTCACAAAAAAGGGTATGCTAAGATGTGACCAACTTGATGAAAGGCTGATAAATCACCTGAAATGAAGCTAGCAGTGTGAATACGACATTCCCTTTCTGAATTGCATCCACCCTCCGTGTAGCAAAGCTCTTTCCATCACGTACACGGTAAACTTGATATATGATTGGAACTACAATCATAAGTGTGAGACTAGGTAAGACACAAGTTTTTACTCAACCAGATTTACATTGGTACATGAAGAAGAGGTTTATATAGATAATTCTACTGGGATCAAACACTCTATACCCTAGTGAACTGACTCCTCAGTCTGGAACACATGAGAAAGTAACAGAGTAACTAAGCCATATTAGCAAACTTTCTTCAATCTAACAACAATCATTTAGTAAGTCAATAAATAAAATGTATTTCATAAATCGTTCAAGGCTTAAAATCCTACAACCCATCAATAGCCAGACAGGGAAACACTTTAGTCCAATACATGTTAGCCAATTATTTACTCATAATTTGAGGAGAGCAATGATGACATGGAAACCATATAGAATCTAACATTTAAGGACAGCTTGTGAAGGATGATGATTCTTATATCTTGGCAACTAACCAAAGAGCCAGAGCAGAGAAGAAAAGTAAGAAACTCATATGGTCAGCAGAGTTCAGCAAGCTGATACATACTAGAACTAGCAGACCCCAACATGAACACACTGGTTTCTTGGAAGTTTTTTTCTTAATAGTTCAAACCACAAAAATACTAGTAATACTTTCTGATTTCTTGTAGATTTGTATTACTTCAATAACTCTGGCTATAGAATAAAAATCAAACCAATCTGAGGGTGTTATACTTCCTTAACTGACAGCACATGCAGCAAGTTAGCAACAGAAGAGGTTTGTTCGGTTCCTCCACACAACCCAAACAAGGCACAACATGAAGAATCACGGAAAAAGAAATGAGCTTTTATCAAAAAGCCTTCAGCATTCTAAGAACGGTTAGCAAAGTGGTTGATGCCTTCATTTAAAAGAAAGTCGCAATCCAATGAAAAGCAGAAGTTGAGCTACTGAAAATGCCTAACTCCTACAGGTTGGATGTTTTTCATTCTTCAGCACTGATATTTTTATGACAGACATAATCAGGGTGAACTTTTGGCTATAATTATAAACAGTAAACAATGATTTAGGCTCCATTAAGCATCTAAACTAAGTTAGCAGCGCTACTACCAAGTCTGTTTTCTTTCTAGTTTATTGAACAAACATATATATGTACATATACTGATATACAAATATATGAAGTGGAATTTGAGGATAAAATAAAATAGAACTTGTCTTGAATTGATTTTCTAGACAGTATACAAGAGGCCCCTTTACCAACATTGTGAAAGGTCTGATACCATATAAAAAAAGATATTAGCTCTTTGGAGCTCCTAATATGGAGTTCTGGCTACTAGAAACAAGGTTAATTCAGATTCCATGAAGAAAAGTTCACATCAAGAGAACTTCCCTAATTACCGGCAAGTATTCCATAATCTTAACCTATATATGTAAGAAGATAATTGATAATAATTATAAGTGCCTTGCAGAATAAGGTGGAGAGAGAACTGAGGTGAAGAATGCGGTAGAAAGCCAGACTTCAAGAATAAGAGTAGGGCTGTTTGAAACTGTAGAGGCTCCAGCATACCCCACCTTTTCCTTATGTTGAGATATTAGGCCTCAACCCCAACAAGCCACTTTCTGCGATTTAGAAGAAGGCTCCCATATGGGGTAGTGAAGAGGTCAAGAATTGATGTTGTGTAGGTAGGAAAGATTCCTGCAAAAAGTTGTCACCCCTAGCCAGCTTGTTATATATCTTACCAGCATCCAAGGATCAGTTGGCTATGCGGGTTAATGATTGGCAAAGGGAGTTCACTAGCTATACCTGCCTGATGCCCCTTCAATTAAAAGCCAATTTGTCCAATACCACACCAAAGCAACATGCCTACGGTAACACAGAGCTCACACTGGGCCTCTCATCCTCTTTCTGTGTCTTTTCTCGTTGGGGGTGGGTGCAGAGAAATCATTCTAGGTTCTAACCTCCACCTTAGAAAGGAAACCAAAACCGGCTAGAAATTTAACTGGATACGAATATGTAGTTGTCGAGGGCACTAAGGAGCTTTACCATTGCAAATTGATTCTTTTCATCAGTAGTTTTGATTCAACCTCTGTTCAAAATGTTGAGGGTGTTAAAATATTAAGAATGCTAACAAACTGAAAGTCATAATATGTTTATATTTACTAATTAAAATTCAAAAGAAGGTTAAGGTTATTAACATAAACAAGTCTCTTTTTTTCTGCTCAGCATTATGCAAACCTGTAATTGCGCACACGTTGTACCTCTTGGAAACTGAACACAAGTATGACATAAATTCTTTCACGCATTGCCACTCATTAAAAGGGAAGATTTCCAAAACAACACTAGATAAATCATACAGCTGTGCGCACTGACATAGGATTCCAAAGAACTCAAAGATATGTGCATTAGCTTATATTGGCTATTTATTTCAGACATAGCATTGGCAGTAGGCATAGAGAATTAAGTAATCACTAAAAGGTTTAAAAAACGAAAGTGCTTAAGGCAAAATATAATAAAGGAAAGCTACTTACTTTCAAGATCCCCAACAAGAAGGAAGTAGGCATGCAAACTATGAACAATTTTGAGAAAATCGACAGTTTTTGATGCAGCAGCCAATGCCTGCATATTAGAGCATAGAGAATGAAGTAATTATTGACAAAGAGGTCCCAAGTCATATGAAGTTAAACTCCAATTAAAGTGAGTGGCTCACGGTGTGGCGGGGAAAGAGGACATTTTAATTTTACCTGCCCAATAAACTGACCTCCAAACACTTTCCCAAATCTAGGGGCATCTGGCAATGTTATTCCTTGGAAAATGTTCACCTTCAACAGAACATTTATGTTAGAACTCCCAAATATTCCTATTTTCTAAGGGGACATTGAACTGGTAATACAATGAAACATCAATCCTCCAAAAAAGAAATGTTCCAAAGGAAAACAATCTGCAAGTGGATATAGCAATTATCCTGATCTACCAAATTATCTTTGAACAATTCAAGCATTCATAAGAACAAGTATCTTATTTCTTAAGCAAATCAAACCTTTAAAAGATCTAAGAGCTTGCTAAAGAAAGCATATGAAATAAATGGAACCATTATCCCACAAAAGAAAGACAAGTGACTTGGAGTTCAAAGTGCAATGGTAAAGAATGAAATACTATCACCGGGTATGCACCAAGAAGTTCCTCTTTTGCATACTGCTGACAATAGGTTAAGCAGAAATTACCGATGCTTTGAGGGGAAATCAAAGATATTTTTTTGCATTGGACCTCATTGACTCCTTGGCCACATAGAGCCTAAAGGAGTCAAGTCCTGTGAGTTTTTCTGAATACACTCATTACCCCCTTGTGCTGCAGTTTATTGAATAAAATTATTTCACGGCAAAATAGAAATAAAAATAGAAACTCACTAGTAGCTAGAAAAAGGATCATTTCTTAGCCTAAGTAGTTAAGAATATCAACATCACTTATTAGCAGTATATTCCCGATGCAAGTCAATTAAGTCTCTACTCTCTAACATGAAACGAAACCCATTTGCCTTACAAACCGAACTCCTCACTAGTTAACACCATCAGCTTCAGGTGCAACCCATATCTCTAAATGGGGAGGAGGAAAGACGAGAGAATTCTTTAGTGTTGAGAATTAAAGACAGAAATATAAAGGAGATTAAACTCCTACATTTTGTTAAAGGACATAGCATGTCATAGGTGGCAACATACCCGAGTATTGGTACATAAATTGGCAAAGATGACTGAGTCTAACAAATTTAAGAAGGAAAGAACAGAAATTTACAGCCAACATATAAAGTAAAAGGCATGGGAGGTCAACGATTAGGTTACAGAAGGCATAAATAACATACCTCAATAGGCTCCAAGAGCAATATGTGTTCCACAAGTGGACACAGGTCTCTTTCTTGATCTGCGTTCCAAATTGATTTGGGCTGGAGCAGATTATTATGCTCATGAGGCAACACTAAGCAGGTCAGCTGCCATTAGAGAAAGTTAGAACATAACTACAAAATTAGATGCAGAATCCCCTGGACATCATGAAATAACTACGGAAAAGAAAACTGTTCTATGGTTAGAAAGAGGCAGTACCTTTGACAATGCGATCACCTCGGCAGGCTGTCTAGATGTCACCAAACCTGCCATAACATCTTGAACCTTGTAATCAACCAACATTTAAGATTGAAAGGCTAAAAGTGATTGAACATGACTGTGGTACTAATTTAATAGAGGCCAAAAAGAGACCAACAGAGAGGCAATAACTGAATCTAGACTCTGAAGCAACATATAAAATATTTATACAGTAAAAGGTGATAACACTGAGTAGAGGCCATAACAGGACAAGATAGTCAATTCAAAAGATTCCTTAATTTAGGAAGTTGGGATCAAGAGAAAATCAAAAGGCAAAAAATTATACGAAGATGGCAAGGAGCACCTCACCATGACCAAAATAATCAAATTTTTTCAGCTGGAATTCAGGACGATTTTCATCATCAGCTTGGCTGAAACCGCAGACTTCTGCCTGGAAATAAGATTACCATAACAACAAAAAAAAATCAATCTCATGATTTATGTTCACATACACTCAGTACAACAAAGCAAAAACAACACTCAGAATTACCTCTCCATCCCATATGAAGTAAATTCCATCCACAGCTTCTCCTTCGCGGATAATATAATCTCCACGATCTGCAACGGTAACACAAAATAAATTGAAAAAAAAGGTGATCGTTTGATATTATAGTTTATCATCAAATGATAATGCGTCAAATACCGTAACTCTCACCTTTACAAATATTTTCTTTCTATATAGATCTACCATCAAATGAAAACTCTGTGAGAACTATGACCATAAACTAGAAGAAACAACTTAAGCTTTTCAAGTAAAAGCAACGCATGCCACCAACAAGGGTTGTGGTGGAGTGGTAAGTACTCTTCATCCTTAACCAAGAGGTCCCGGGTTCGAGCCCCTTTGGGTACGGAGTCACCTTTGTTAGGGAGCGTTTTATCCGCCAATGTGGGACTTCCCGGCGCGAATCCGAATTTATCGGGCTCCAATGTGGGCACCGGACACTGGGTGGGAAACGAAAAAAAGTAAAAGCAACGCATGCCCACTTCTAAGTAGTAGAATAAGCCAATAAGGGCGGGCTATATACACTATTTCTTCAGAAACAAAAAAAAAACTATAAATCTATTAATCAAATGATGAATCTTGATTTTCTTGATATAGATATAATGAAAAATCCAGTACAAACTAGAATAAGACAAATTATTAAAATTTATCAAACTTATAAGAAATAGCATTAACTATATAACCTGACTAATCAAATGATGAATCTTGAATTCTTGATAACATAATATTGAATTCTTGATAAACATGATAAAGAAATTACCATAATGTTTAACCTTGACGAGTTGGGCAATTTTCTTGAGAGATGAACTGGGTAGCCTCTGCAACAATGGCACCTCACCCAAGAACTCAATCACTACACAAACAAGAAGAAAGAATCACAAAACAAAATAACTCAAATTAGATCAAATTTCAAAACCCCAAATAGATTTCATTCCAATTCTTAAAGATTTACCTGATTCAGTATCCATATATTTGTATGAACAGAAAATTAAACCAAGAAATCGACCGTGGAAAGAATTCAATAATTTTCAGTGGAAAAAGGCTACAGTTATAATGTGATTTTTAATTTTTAATTTTGGGTTCTTGTACTGCTTTTATAGAGTCAAATTTCAATGAGAACAGTAAGAAGGGCCACACAATTATCGATTTCTTAAACGTGTCAAATTTGGACAATCGTTTACTTTAGGACAATAGTGTCAAATTTGGACAAAATATGAAATCATGAAATGAATAGATTAGATATATATTGTGCCCTTGTTTTCATTTGGAGGAAAATAAAAAATTATTTTATTTTGTTTGAAATTTTTAAAGTTTAAGTTTGGTCATAAATTTGGAAAAAGTTAAACACTTAAATATATTTTTTATAAATATGATTTATATTTTTAATCTCTAAATACTAGTAAAATAATTCAATTTAATTCTTACAACTCCACTATAATATGAAAAATAAATAATATTACAATTAAACATTGTCGTTTGGTATGTATTAAAGTATGTATAACTTATACGACATTTGATAGGTGGATAAGAAAGAAGTTATTCATGCATATAATTAATATGATGTTTGGTAGGTGGATAAGAAAAAAGTTATTCATGTATATAATTAATACGGTGTTTGGTAGGTGAATAAGAAAAAAAGTTATTTATGTATAAAATTAATATGACGTTTGGTTGACAATTTTAAAATTTGTATAACTAATACATGTATAAGTTATGAGGAAATTTGTGTATTATTTATTCTTCTACATAATTAAAGAAATATTTTAATTTAAATAAAAGTTAAAGCAAAGTTAAAGAAGGAGAGGGTATAATTGTAAAAAATGTTATAATTTAAATAATATATAATTTTATTAATTTTTAATATAAAAAACAACACCCAAAGAAATAATTTATGCATAACTAAACCATGCATAGCTAATACTAGTATAACTAATGCATAGTTAATACTTGCATAACTAATATCCACATTACTAATATTTGTATAATTAATACCCACATTATTAATACTCACATTGCTAATACTTGTATAACTAATACACACATTACTAATACATATATAATTAATATCCACATTACCAATACATGTATAACTCTATCTAGCTACCAAAATCAACCGCATGGAGTCATGTTTTTGTCTCCCATAACATCATTGGGATAATATTTTTAAAATAAAGAGATAGTAAAAAGTTGAGGTGATAAATAAATGAGGTGGTTCTTATAAAAAATAA